TATATATATATTAATTTAACTATTTATATATTAATATTATATTTTATATTTTATTTGATATTTTTTTATTTTAAAAAAATAATATTATATTTAATACATTTTTAATTTTTTATTTATTAATATTTGATATTTTATTAATAATTTATTTCAAACAAAATTTTTTCTATGTTTTAAAGATTATTTAATAAATAATTTGATAATTTATTTGATTTTTATTATTTTGTTATTAAGGTCCGGCGATATCCATTATGATCCGGATATTATGAAAAAAAATTAGTAGATCGAAAATTCGTCGATTGAGGTCCGATAATTTTCATGGGAATCGGCGGTTGTGGTTCAATAGTAAGCACTATAATTAGGACCTGATAATTGGAATTAGTGATTAAAATTCGATAAAAAATAAGAAGAAAAAATAATATATATATAATTTAATTAAAATAATCTAAAATATATATTTATATAATTAATTATTATCAATAGTACCTATACGAGGCGGGGCGGAAGTTGCCGTAGGCATATATTATATTTTTTTATCTATAGGATTTGTATGCGCCGTGCGCCAGCCAGGCCCGTGCGTGTGCGCTGTGTGCGAATATAATATATTTCCCATTTCATATTTATATTTCATACTTTGCACTTCATACTCCACACTTCATTTCATCTCACCTCATCTTATCTGAATTCTTCTCACCTGATCTGATTTCTCCTGATCTCATTGAATCTCATCTTATGCCTTCTTACATATCATCTAAATATGTTCTTCTTATTTATTTTGAGAATATATTTCCCAATACTACTTCATATTACAAAGCTTGCACAAAGCACATTCCACTACTATTTTGTATTATAAAGCTTGCACAAAGCACGGCCCAATACTACTTTGTATTAGAAGGAGAAGCTTTTATACAGAGAAGCCTTTATACAGAGAAGCTTTTACACAGAGAAGCTTTTACACAAAGAAATTTTTATATAAATAAATTTTTGTACACAGAAACTTTTACACAAATAAGAGATTTTTTTGCACAAAGAAGCATTCGCACACAGCAAGCTTTTACACACCGCAAGCTTTTACACACAGAATTTTTTATACAGAGAAGTTTTTATACACAGAAGCTTTTACATACAGAACTTTTTACACGGAGAAGCTTTTATACAAAGAAACTTCACACAGAGAAACTTTTACACGGAGAAATTTTTATACAGAGAAATTTTTACACACAGCATGCTTTTAGACACGGAAGCTTTTACAGATACAAGCTCTTACACAGAACCGTTTTTGCACATGATCGCGCTTGAAATTACAGCTCCAAAACCAGATGATCTCGACGCCCAGATAGGAAAAAAAATCGATTTTTGAAGACTGCGTAATAAAATTTCTAAAAGGAAAATCACCAACGCCAAAACACTGAAAATATACTGGCAAATCACCATCGCGACCTTCATTTATGCAGCCATTCAAATACGATTTTCAATGTTCAATTACAAAAAACAATAATATTACGCACATAGCCACACTACTCAGGCACCTTGATGCAGCCATTATAATTCATTTTGCAACCTCACGTCATGCAACATACATGCAGCCATTACAATATGTTTTGCAACCTCACGTCGCAAACCCGCATCTCTCGAAACACATGGCAACACAACATGGCATCATTCATACAGCCATGCCATTACAATCTGCAACCCAAGATTCCAAATCACCGTAGAATTGCGCATACACGAATCTACCCACAATATCTTGAAGTCACAGCAACAGTGCGGGAACAAATAAATACCAAAACGATCGCACCCGCACCCGCCGCACACACGAGGTACCTTTCATCGCCCGCCGGAGTC